GCACAAAGGCACGCTTGGCATACATCAGATCAAACTTGTGATCTAGGCGGGCCCAGGCCTCAGCAATGGCTGTGGTGTTGCTCAGCATGCACACAGCTCTCTGGACCTTGGCCAGGTCACCACCAGGTACCACAGTGGGAGGCTGGTAATTAATGCCAACCTTGAAGCCAGTGGGACACCAGTCTACAAACTGGATGCTGCGCTTGGTTTTGATGGTGGCAATGGCAGCATTGACATCTTTGGGGACCACATCACCTCGGTACAGCAGGCAGCAAGCCATGTATTTACCATGGCGAGGGTCACATTTCACCATCTGGTTGGCTGGCTCAAAGCAGGCATTGGTGATCTCTGCTACAGAGAGCTGCTCATGGTAGGCTTTCTCAGCAGAGATGACAGGGGCATAGGTGGCCAGAGGGAAGTGGATGCGAGGGTAGGGTACCAGGTTGGTCTGGAATTCTGTCAGATCAACATTCAGGGCCCCATCAAATCTGAGGGAAGCAGTGATGGAAGAGACAATCTGACTAATAAGGCGGTTAAGGTTAGTGTAGGTTGGGCGCTCAATGTCGAGGTTTCTACGACAGATGTCATAGATGGCTTCATTGTCTACCATGAAGGCACAATCAGAGTGCTCCAGGGTGGTGTGGGTGGTGAGGATGGAATTGTAGGGCTCAACCACAGCAGTGGAAACCTGGGGGGCTGGGTAGATGGAGAACTCCAGCTTGGACTTCTTTCCGTAATCAACAGAGAGCCGCTCCATCAGCAGGGAGGTGAACCCAGAGCCAGTGCCCCCGCCAAAGCTGTGGAAAACCAAGAAGCCCTGGAGACCCGTGCACTGGTCAGCCTGTGAGAGAAAAGGAAATGTAATGTTTTATCAGGAGGGCATACTCTTAGCACTATTTGCAAGTCCTTTAGGTTGGGAACCCTATCTACCTGATAGAAAAAACTTGACATATTTTGACAGATACCGAGGCACCCTCCCATTCCATTTTAAAACCATCCATATATGGCATTTACCAGCTTGCGAATTCTGTCCAAGACAAGGTCAATGATCTCCTTGCCAATGGTGTAGTGGCCACGGGCATAGTTATTGGCAGCATCCTCCTTGCCTGTGATGAGCTGCTCAGGGTGGAAGAGCTGGCGGTAGGTGCCAGTGCGAACTTCATCTGGAAAAGGGGAAGACATCAGCCACCCACCAACCAAGGACCCTCACAGGCTCACTCACCCTTCTGGATCTACAGAGAGATTCTGAGTATGTGATCAAGAAGGAATGCCTCAGGGAAGGGAGCCCCCAGCCAGCTTACCGATAACTGTAGGTTCCAGGTCTACAAACACTGCCCGGGGCACGTGCTTGCCAGCCCCTGTCTCACTGAAGAAGGTGTTGAAGGAGTCATCTCCTCCCCCAATGGTCTTGTCACTTGGCATCTGGCCATCGGGCTGGATGCCATGTTCCAGGCAGTAGAGCTCCCAGCAGGCATTGCCGATCTGGACACCAGCCTGGCCAACGTGGATGGAGATGCACTCACGCTGTGGAAGGGAAGGAAGAGAAGAAAAACATCTATAAGCAATGTCTCAAGTAACTGGAGTTCTTCGTAGTACAATGTTACAAATTCGGCCACATTCCACACCTAGGCGTGGTTACTGTTTTCTCTTCTTGAAAACCAATATATTAAGACCTTTGAGTTCTGCTTTTGCTCCGGTGTCCAGATTCCCGAACAATTCTAGACTTAGGAAGCACGTGGCTGGAGCAGGGAGGGGAGGTGCCTAGCTGCTGGGACAAGGGGCAGGGCTCTGCGGAATGTGACAAGGGAGGAATTTTCAGAGCATGCATCTCCTGCGGCCTGCAGGCTGTTGGTTTTCAGCCTCCTCTATTTGTAGGCACAGAGCTCAGCTCCTCCACATCCGCCCTGGTTCAGCAAGGGATTATCAACTGCCCAGATCCGATTTCTGGACCCTCAAAACACTTCAATGTCATCATCTGGCCCCACACAAATTTCCAACTGGAGACAGTTGAACTCCTTGCCTTTGGAAAACTACGATTTGCGGAATACAGTTGAGGAAATATTCCCCATACTTCCTATTGCTTTCATTAAAAGCAAAAAGGTCGCGGCTGAGGTTGGAACTCTGTAACTGCTGGTTTAGAATGGTGGCGATTCTATGTTTGACCATCAGCTCAAAACCCGGATCCACTTGGGGACACACCCTAAACGAATTAGACCCGCAGTGGCTCAGCGCGCACGCGCACACTGCGGAGGCTGTTCCCGCCGCTCTCAGGCGGGAATGTAACGGCTGCGCATGCGTCTTTTGTCTCCGGCGCCTTCCCGCCCCCGCCTTTTCTCCCGAAAGAGGAAGTGAGGGCGGGGGGTTGGGAGGGGGGGAAAAGCCGCGCGCGCGCCCGCCAAGCAGCAAGCAAGGGAAGGGTGGGGGAAGGGCCCGGGCGGGAAGACTGCAGTCTGAAAGCGCCATGCTGCATGTTTGGGCAGGGTGTGATGTCTGGGAGACCGAATTCCAGGGAGATCAGAGTGGCCCTTCTCCCCCAAACCAGGGTGGTCCCCAGCAGCATGGGCCCCAAGCTCTCCTGCACGCGCACCCCTCGATCACAGCCCCGGGCGAGCTCCTTCCTCTTCTCCATCTCCCCCTCCCCTCCACACACCGACCCACACTCACCATGATCGCTACGGGTTAGAAGGCGAGGGTGATAGAAGCAGACACCGGGTCACGGTTACCGTTCCCGACAACTAAGAGTCGAGGTAAGTAACGCAATGAGGCGGAGGCGCCGGCGCCCGGGCTTCTTAAGTAGCAACTGGGGAGGGGCGGGCGCGGCCGCTGGTCACCGTCCCTCCCCGGGCCAGCCGCGTCCAATGGGCGCCAGACCTGACCGCCGCAGAGGCGGGCTCGGCTCCGAGCCCCCTCCTCGCGTGGGCCCGCGGGGCGGAGTGGCCGCCGGGGCGCGCGCCATGCTGCAGACAGGGGCGCGCCGCTGCAATGCGGGGCGGCGGCGGGTACTGCCGCAGAGGCGACCAGGGGGAGACTCGCTCCATGTGGGCGAGCCCTGGGACTTGGCGTGTCCGCAGTTTTAAAGGTGAAGCAGCATCCTAATATGCTTGAGGTCCGGATAGCTCAGTTGATTATATTCACGTGGCCACACTGGATGAGTGAGTTTTACCTTGCTCTTTGCTTCCTTTAAAGGCTGTGCATTCTGTACTTACCTGCTGTGAAAGGCCCTTATGAAGGCGAGTAGCCATGCTTGATCTATTATAATGACTGGTTCTCAAAACTAAGGGTATCAAGTACTGGAAGCATTTTGAATCACCCAAAGGATGGTAGTAGCTAAGCACGGAATATTGAGCTTGTTAAAATAAGGGCAGACTAGGCCCCGGCTTTAGCCTGGAATAACCCAAGTAAGGACTCTTTCAAAAGATTTCTAAAACATTTAAATCGTAGTTAAATTGAACAAGTGAGGCGAACCTGGAAGGAAAATGTCTCACAGAAGCATATTAGGGATTTCTCGTGCTATGTAAGTTTCCTAAAAGGATTGCTTGGCGTTAAGTACCAGATTATATACTACCCCCGAATTTATTTCAGGACCGCAAACCACTATTCATAAGGTGATCGGGGCTAACGTGTGGCTTTAAAATTGTCCTCATAGAAACACAGTGTAATTACCAAACTATTCAAAATGTCCTCCTGGCAGCGACAGCACGGAGCACAGATCCTTCGCAGCTGTGCAGCCTGAGAACGCCCCCTTTCAGATCCTCAGGCGCCTTTAGTCAGGTGCAGTTAAACAGAATTCCAGGAGTCACTGTAAAGGAATGCCTTGGCCGGTTAATTAGGAGAAGGAGCAGATGCCTGGTGTTAGAAGAGGAGGATCTGGTAGTGCTTCAGCAGATACCATGTGGGTGATTTGGGGGCCGAGGAAATGATTCAGTTAGGACCTGAGCTTGATTCCCCAGAACCCAACTGGCGTGTGGGACAGTCATGGTGGCTCGTGGTTGTATTGCCAGTGCTGCAGAGACAGAGGCTTAGTGGCTAGCCAGACTAGCCTTTCTGGACTAGTTCCAGGTCAGTGAAACCATGTATCAAAAACAAGCGAACAAGGTGGGAAACAGAAATACAGCCAAACATAAATTGCTAAGTGTGATAAATTTAAAACAAAACCCCTAAAGTTGATCTCTACCTCAAACATTCAAGGATCGGGGTTATAGGTAAGAGTTAATTCTCAGCTTCATTCACTTTTATTTGTGGAGATTGGGTCTCTCGCTTGGTCTGTGGCCAGGGAACGATACTAAACTGCTGATCCTCCTGCCTCCACTTTCCTAGTGCTGGATGTCTTAGGATTTCACGGCTGTGAAGAGACACCAAGACCAAGGCAACTCTTATAAAGGACATTTCATTGGGGCTGGCTTACAGGTTCAGAGGTTCAGTCTGTTGTCATCATGGTGGGAAAATGGCAGCATCCAGGCAGGCATGGTGCTGGAGAAGGAGCTTTCTATGACTTGTTCTGAAGGTAAACAGAAGACTATCTTCCAGGCAGCTAAGAGGAGGGTCTGAAAGCCACCCCCACATTTCCTCCAACAAGGCCACACCTCCTATTACTGCCACTCTCTGTGCTAAGCATATTCAAACCACACTGGGGTTACAGGTGTGGGGCACCGTGTCTTTGTGCAGTGCTAGGGATTAAACACAGGGCCTTAAAATGCTTCCTAGGGCAACAAGCATTCCACCACCAGTGAGACCATCTTCAGCCCCTCAGGAGGTGACTTTTGTTTTTTGAAAACTATGTTTCAGCCGGGCAGTGGTGGCGCACACCTTTAATCCCAGCACTTGGGAGGCAGAGGGAGGTGGATTTCTGAGTCCGAGGCCAGCCTGGTCTACAGAGTGAATTCCAGGACAGCCAGGACTACACAGAGAAACCCTGTCTCAAAAAACCACAAACGAAAACAAACAAACAAAAACCAACTCATGTCAGAACCAAACACTGGCCAGCCACAGCTTGTGTCCAGGTGGGAGTCACAATGACTTGCTTCACTTCTTGGAACACTGGTCTAGTTCCAGGACCTTCGTGCCTTCCTCCAGCTTGAGCATGCCTCTTTCCTGGCGCAGGCGGTACCTGTCAGCCATGGACTGAAGCATCCATTTAGTCCGAAACTTCTTTTGTTCAGAGCCATAAATTAAGATCTCGGTAAGATCAGAAGATTCCAGCGTCTTCAGCTCAAACGTGACCCGGCTCACCTGCTCGATGTGAGGCATTCGAGATCCCTGTGGGCCGAACAGAGAGTTTAGCACCAGCGTGTTGACTCGCAATACTTCTTGGAGACTATGTTTTTATGTGTAGCCACAACTATAGAGCACCCTGGCCTTGAACTCAGAGATCTGTCTTCTCTACCTCCGGAGTGCTGGGATTAAATGATGATGATGATTATTTTAACTAAGACCTAACAATTTTATTTTCACATTCACCATTATAATTTAAAACTGCTGGGACTGAAGACTTGGCTCAGTGGTTAAGAGCACCTGTTGCTCTTGCAGAGGACCCAGGTTCAGTTCCCAGCATTCACATGGTGGCTCACAACCATCTGTAATTCTGGTTCCAGGAAGTCTAGTGCCCCCTGGCCTCCAAGCACATCGGGCATATGAGTGGCACACAAACACACAACTAACTACATGGCAACTGCAAGTTTTAATCCTACTTCTCTGAGAGCAGCGGGGAGCATGTCCTTGTCATGCCTCTGAGCCAGTCAGACACAGCACCGTGAGGCACCGGTGAAATAGAAGAGATACTGTAGAAGTGATAGAGAAAGTACCAGCATCCCCACCATCTCCCTTGTGCCGAGTCATGCTGAGTCATCCCGTGTCATGTGGGTACCCTTGTGACAAGCAGGAGGTCTCATCATTGGAGGCCTATCTCAGCCACTTCTAAGTCACTTAAAAGTGACACTGTGGTTGGAAGATGCTTGGCCCAGGGAATGACACTGTTAGGAGGTGTGGCCTTGTTGCAGTGGGTGTGGCCTTTTGGAGGAAGTGTGTCACTAGGGGTGGGCAATGAGACCCTCCTCCTAACCACGCGGAAGGCAGTCTCCTGTTTGCCTTTGGAAGGAGAAGTAGAACTCTCAGCTCCTCCTCCTTCATGCCTGCCTGGACACCTCCATGCTCCTGCCTTGATGATAATGGACTGAACCTCTGAACCTGTAAGCCAGCCCCAATTAAATGTCCTTTATAGGAGATTCCTTGGTCATAGTGTCTGTTCACGGCAGTAAAACCCTAACTAAGACAGGCACACACATTTTTGGGGATTTTTTTTTTTTTAAGACAGGGTCTCACTATGTAGCTCTGGCTGTCCCAGAATTCACTCTATAAACCGGACTAGCCTTGAATTTGGAGATCCACTTGCCTCTGCCTCCCAAGTGCTGGCATTAAAGGCTTCTGCCACCACTGCCTGGCTTGGTACATACTTTTAATCTCGGTTCGATAGAAGGCTGGGGCAGGAAGATAGTAAGTTTGAGACCAGCTTAGGCAGTGTGGTAAGTTCCCGTTTCTCAGAATAAACGGCGGTGACACTAACAGGGAAGGAAAAACTCCCCAAAATGGCTTCTTTTTTATATCCCATTGGTCAAAACCAGGTTCAGTTCTGAAAGAGGAGGCCAGGAAGGCAAGGGTTGAGAGAGGAAGAGTTTGTTCTAATTTATCCCTCAGGAATGACCACCGACTCCCTTTCTCTCATCTGGAAAGCATGGGAAGAAGGCTGATTAAATGCTTTCTGTGGCTTAGATCTTGAGTGTCTCCTAGTTGTCGTCCATGTGTTGAAGGTATGATTCCCAGCCAGCAGTACCACTGGGTAGTAGTAGAACTTTTAGGAGATAGGACCTGATGGAAGGAAATCTCACTGGGGTAGGGGTGTGACTTAGAAGTGGATACTAGAGTGTGGGTCCTTGTCTTCCTGTCTTTTACTTCCTGGCTGCCACAAGCTACTTTTGCTAGGCACTCCAAACATTGGTGTACCGAAGAAGTTGCATCTCCGAAAAGGTCACCACAGTCTAGGGGAAGTCCCACAGAAGCTGCACTCCTGGAGACCCCTTGCACAGTTTGCATGTGCAACCCCCTCACAAATGCACAGACTCTCTAAATATGTGTTTTAAATATATAAAATATAATACAGCCCCAGTGAAGTAAAACACACGGGCTTGGGAGATGCCCAGTGAGCAAAGTGTCTGTCACTCAACTGTGAGGACCTGAGCTCTGTCTACTAACCATGTCAAAGCTGGCCCTGGTAGTGTGCATCTGAGACCCCCAGTGTGGAAAGCAGGAACTGAGGGAGAAGTATCCTGGTGCTCTCTGGGTAGCCATACTAACTGAATCTATGAGCTCTTATGTTCAGTGAGAAACCCTTGCCTAAGAAAATACTGTGGTAGGGCCGGGGAGATGGCTCAGTGGTTGAGAAAGCTTGAATTCAGTTCCCTACACTCTATCAGGTGGCTCACAACCGCCTGTTAACTTCAGCTCCAGGAGATCCGATGCCTCTACCTTCAAGGGCACCGCATTCATGTGCGTATACCCACATGGAGGCACACACAAACACAGAATTAAAAAGTAAAAAGAAAGGTAGTGGCCAGTCATAGTGGTGTGTGCCTCTGATCCCAGCACTCAAGAGGCAGAGGCCAGCTTGGGCTACAGAGTGAGTTCCGTGACAGGCAGGGCTATGTAGAGACACCCCTGACCCTGTCACCAGAGAGAGAGAGAGAGAGAGAGAGAAAGAGGGGGGGGGGGGAGAGAGAGAGAGGACAAAAATAGAAACTGAAGAAGATCCCCTCTGTAGACCTCTGACCTCCTGAACAGATGCACATGTGTTTGCACCCATATAAACACACACACATGCATGCATGCACACGCATACACACTGATTGTTCTTAGTCTTCCTTCCTTAATAACAGAGCCCTAATTTTGTGAGGAGTAAGGTTCCAGTTCCCATTGCAGCTATATTGGCCATGTCTGTGTCAGTGCTTAGTGGAAGGCATTTATCAGACAGTTTTGAGGGCGAGGTGGGTGGCCAGCACTTAGGAGGGAGGCGAAGGGAGGTAGATCTCTGTCTCAACAACAGAGAACGAAAAGAAAACTGTTCCTAACACACACATGTTTCCCCTTGCCTAGAATGTGGGTCACTGACAACCTTGAGCGCAAGGCAACCCTAAGTCACATGCTATCGATGGAAGAAGACAGAACATGGGTCCCCGTGACATTACCAAGCTACAGAAGCCTTGGTCTGTTGTATTGACTAAGTACGTTAGCAATAAACTCAGACTCACCAGTAATGTGTTGGTGACACAATAGGAGGAATCAAAGCATTTCCCCTTGGTGACATTAACCAAGAGTGAGCCCAGAGTTGAATTCTTTGCTCGGTTCTTCCTGTGTCTCCTGTGTCCTCTGTCTGTCCTGAGTGCTGTCTGGTGTCTGTCCTCCTGTGTGTTTCCTTTTTTTTTTTTTTTTAGATTTATTTTATGTATACGAGTATACTGTCACTGTCTTGAGATACACCAGACGGGGGCATCAGATCCCATTACAGATGGTTGTGAGCCACCATGTGGTTGCTGGGAATTGAACTCAGGACCTCTGGAAGGGCAATCAGTACTCTTAACCGCTGAGCCATCTCACCAGCCCCTCCTGTGTAATTCCTAATAAAGTGCTTTGCCTTTGCTTTTATTGACCAGCACAGAAAGCATCACATGGGAAAGGAATGGAGGGTACTTCATAGACATCTTTAAGAAGTTTACAATGAATGAAGTCACCGAACCAGATAACAAATGTTATCAAGCAACATCTTTGTGTTGCTTCAGCATTTATGGTGGATATTTGTTTCACAAAGTTGCTTTTTGCCTATTTGCTGTTTTCAGGATTTATTAACACACACTCACACACAGATCAGAGGCAACAGAAGTTTTAGGTTGTAAAATATAATTGCTTTGGAAATACAAGGCAAAAAAAAGTTCAATTGTTCCATTGTTCTCAGGCTAAACTGGCTGAGTTCACAGCACAACACACCTCAAGGGGTATTATGAATGTTGGCTATGAGGTCCAGCAAATGTTCCTGTCTTTTAGAATATAAGAGATATTTCGCCGGGCGGTGGTGGCGCATGCCTTTAATCCCAGCACTTGGGAGGCAGAGGCAGGCAGATTTCTGAGTTCGAGGCCAGCCTGGTCTACAGAGTGAGTTCCAGGACAGCCAGGGCTACACAGAGAAACCCTGTCTCGAAAAACAAAAACAAACAAACAAAAAAAATAGAATATAAGAGATATTTCTACAGTACTTCATGGCCACAGGCTGCCTACCTCTGAATTTCCTATTGTAGAAGAAAGTTTGTTTAGGAATTTGGTGTGGTGGGGTGTGTCCCTGTGATTTGGAGCTAATGGAGATTCACCAGTGTAGCTCACACCTGTCATACCAGTGTCCGAGAAAGCAGAAGCAGGAGGATGGATATTTGTTCAAGGTCAGGCCAGTTACACAGTTGTAGGCCGGTTACACAGTTCTAGGCCAGCAAGGACTACTTAGTGAGACTTAGGGTTTTTGTTTTTAGATAGTCCTGGGTATCTTGGAACTCACTATGTAGACAAGGTTGGCCTTGAACTCACAGAGATTCACCTGTCTCTGCCTCCCAAATGCTTAAAGTTTAAAGGCATCTGCCTCGACACCCTGGCCCAAGACTATGCAAAACAAAAACTAAGCAAAAACCCTCAAAATAAAACATAAGCATGATATTAATAAAACATTGTTTGAGAGATGCTTTCTAGATAATTTTCATTAGTGGGTCTAATTTTTTGGAATATATGTTACACCAGTGTATTTGTCTTCTCCACACACGTGTGTAAGCCCTTTTCTGTTACCTGTCCTGTGTTTGTAACTACTCACCCTCAGAACTTACTTAAAACAGCTATTCATGAGTAGGAAAATGTTCTTGATTCCTTGTGTCGTCTGGCATCAACTGGGAGGTCTAGAGTGGCAGATACCTTGGGCTCTGGTCCCCTGTTGGATGCGATAGGGCAGTTCTTTTCCACATCACCTTTCTTTCCCTCCACACATTCTTTTATCCATTGGTAATCTAGCTGGAGCTTCTTTGCAGGGTGGCTCGCTTTTAAAAGAAGGAGAACAAAGCTCCAGGCATCTTAAAGGGCTTGACCTGGATTTGGCACGCAGTCAAGTGCTTCAAGCACTTAGACACAGCTTCGGCTACAAAAAACGGTGACTCACAAGGCTGAAGGCACCGAGATGCGTCATTGTCCTAAAACTGCAGTCACTTGAGGTCCTTGGAACTCTGCCTTGGAAGCCTTGGAAGACCATCCCACAAACACCAGGGGAGATGAGGGTAGAGCAACATCCTGGCAGCAAAAGTAATGATTCATAACAAAAGAGGAGATTAGCAGCTGGTCGGCTGTCTTGCAGGACTGGAGCAGAGACAGGGATGGACAGGACCCCTGACCACGACTCTTTTTTTTGTTTGTTTGTAATGTGTATTGGTGTTTTGCCTATGTGTCTCTGTGTCAGATCACCTGGAAACTGGAATTACAGACAGTTGCGAGCTGCTATGTAGGGGTGCTGGGACTTGAACCTGGGTCCTCTGGAAGAGCAGCCAAAGCTCTTAACCACTGAACCATCTCTTCAGCCTGAGTCCCTAACTAGAACTATTAATTCTGAATATATCTTTCTTCCTGCTCCAGATCTTTGCTTAAAGCTGAGCTTGTATCAGTACCTTGAAGATGAACTTGGAGTTACTGGGCTCCCTTTACGTGTGCCCCCGGGCTCCAGGATGATGGAATCTCCTTTCCCTGATCCACACTGTTATCCCCAGCTTTGACGGTTACCTTGGGCTGAGTGGTCAAGCCTGGCTCCTTAGGGCTGCTGGAGCTGAGGCTTCTGTTCTAAAACTCCACTTACGCCTTGGGTGAGTCACAAACCATGGGGTCTCAGTCCTTAGTTACAGGTAACCATAAAAGAATGGGAAAAGGCCGGGCGGTGGTGGCGCACGCCTTTAATCCCAGCACTTGGGAGGCAGAGGCAGGCGGATTTCTGAGTTCGAGAGTTCGAGGCTAGCCTGGTCTACAGAGTGAGTTCCAGGACAGCCAGGGCTACTCAGAGAAACCCTGTCTCGAAAAACCAAAAAAAAAAAAAAAAAAAAAAAAAAAAGAATGGGAAGGATCAAACGCTCCCATAGAGATCTTGGAGTCACTTTTGTTACAGGGACTTTCTCTTTTCTTTTGACTTGGGCAGAGATTACTGCTCTCTCATTTGATAAAGCAGAGGGACAAGTGTCCCTGCTCTGTGGGCTCGAGAGACTGACTTAAATTCCCTAACTTGCTTGTCCTTGTTGTTTCAGGTCAGCTTGGAGGCCCTTTGGAGCTGTTTGGACATCTGCCATTTGCCCTGAAATACTGTCTCTTTTGCTCTGGGGTTCTTTTGAACTATTTGAGTATCTACTGTTTGTCTAACAGGCCTTGTCTTTGGACTCTTGAGAAAATCTGAGGTCATTTGAATTATTTGGGCATCTGCTAAAAGGGCCAGGCTCGCCCCCCTGCCCCCCCGCCAGGGTTTCTGTGTGTAGCACAGGCTGTCCTAGAACTCTCTTTGTAGACCAAGCTGGCCTCGAACTCACAGAGATCCATCTGTCTCAGTCTCTGAAGTGCTGGGATTAAAGGCATGTGCCACCACTACCTGGCTGCACCTAGACTTTTAACATACAAAATTGGACAGTAAAATTCTTTTGATGTTTCTACCTCCTGTAATTAGTACTTTTTGTTTGTGCATATGCTTCAGCCATCACACTCTGTCTCCTTCTCATGTATTAGCTTATCACCAGGCCAAGAAACCTGGAAAGCCAGGTTAGCAGATACTCCAGTTCCCTCGAGATTGAGTATTCAAACACAAGAGAGGAATTGGAACAGTTATTTAGAAGATACTTTGTTACACACTGTTGGCTCCTGACTAGAGCCACAGAGCTGAAGGCAGGAAGCTAAGTCCTTGCCTTAAACCTACAGTCGGCTGGATTCCAGAAATGTAAACCATCAGCCAGCCCCTCCCCCCACCGCACCCACCACCGCTCTCCCATGCCTCACATAGTTACTTAACAAGGGCAAAGCTGCACTCTGGAGCAAAAACAATCATCCTGTAGAAGCTAGTGATGCAGATTAACAGTTTGTCAGCCGCCCTGCTGGACTGGAGCTAAGCTGATAGACGGGCTATCCCTTCACCAAGATGGCTTAATTCTCGTACTGGTTACTCCTAGCCTCAGTTCTTCCTCTGATGAGCCTAAAGTTTGTTCCTTCCCAGTGGGTCAGTTAAATGTATCTCCCCTGCTCTCTCACTGTCATTTGTCTCTGGTTGGCATATTGGGACAGGTAGGGGAGCCTAGCTGGTTGGTGCTGCTCACGCTGGGACTTCCTCTGCAAGAGCAACTCACACACACACACACACACACACACACACACACTAATGAAACATTAAAAACACCTTATCCAGCCCCACCTGTTAAGTTTGTACTGATAGACCAAATCTTTTAAATTCAGACTCCATTTTAGAGAACCTGACCTAAGTTTGAACTCAGGTAAACTTAACAGGCTGGTACCTAGCATTAGTTTCCAAGTTGCCCCCCTACAAAACCTGAGCCTAACTCCAGTCTCTAGGCTAATCCTCAACAAGACCAGTGTCTCCAGGTTACACCCTCAACAAGACCAGTCTCTCCAGGTTATTTCCCCTTCAAACCTGCACCCCCAGGTTTCAAGCCCACCCTCTGTCTAACGACCACCCATGACCACCCATGCAGAGGGGAGCAGAAGTTAAGTTTAGGATATGACTCCCAGCACCAGCCAATTATATTAAAGACCACAATAGCTTTCCAATGAGATGCTTACACGTTCAACCCCCACTTGCTGCTTACTATAAAGTCTTGCCATGATAGACATTCGGGGCTCCCACACCACCAAAACCATCCTTCGTGTTGGCAGTGTGTTGGGGCAGGGAGGGGGAGGGGTGTTCCAAGCTAGCTCAAATAGAATAAAGACCTTGCTGTGAGTTGCATCAGATTAGCTCCTGTCTGGTTTTTTGTTTTGTGTGTATGTGTGTGTTTGTGTGTGTGTGTACCATTAATATTTCCCTGACACTACAATACTATTTCCCTATACTGTGGATCTAGGGCACTAAACCATTTAGGGATATTCCAAATCAAAATTACAGTATAAACCAGTACCCCTTTACCCTGGAACCACAGTCAAGATGTGGGAGTGGCCAGTGAGGAAGACATTTACTGAAGTTTATACACTGTGATTTTTTTTTTTTTTTTTTTCCCAATTACTTTCTTCTTTGTGTATGTGTGTTACCCGTGTGCATTCAGGTGCTCGCAGGAGTACATGTGTGAGTGTGTGTGCACACTCGAGCGTGTGTCCACACAAGTATGTTTAAGAAGGCATCTCATGGAACCAGAAAGTTGGCTTAATGATTAAGAGAAATTATTGCTCTGAGGAGATTGGTTCCCAGCACCTACAGGGCTGCCCATAACCGCCTACAGGGCTGCCCGCAACGGCCTGTAACTGCTTCCAAGGGACCTGACCTCTGTAGGCTCCTGTGTGCATGTGGTGTGGTGTGTGTGTGTGTGTGTGTGTTTGTGCACACACACTCAGGTTCCCTTCTCCCTCTACCCCTCCCTACACATACACACACACACACACACAGAGGCCTGAAACTTACAGAGACCCACCTGTCTCCGAGTCCAGAGTTCTGGGTTTAAAGGCCTGCATCAGGCCTTTCTTACCTTAGTTTTTGAGATAGGGCCTCTTACTGAACCAGGAGTTCATTGATTCAACTAGACTGACTAGCCATCAAGCAAGCCGCAGGGATCCAATGAGATTACAGTACATTTCAGTAAATTTGAATCTGCTGAACCATCTCTCCAGCCCCCTTTTGCAATTCGCCTTTGATTTGTTCTGAGACTGGTCTCGTTTCGTTGACCTGGAACTCTCTATGTAGCTCAGCCTAGCCTTGAGCTTGAGGCAATCCTCCTGTACCCGACATTCTGCAATTAGCAGGCTAAATTCTTAGTAGATATGTGATAACTGTACCTATTTATGCAGTACAGTGTGGTATTAAAAGTCAGAAGTGGGGCTGAGAGGGTGTGGCTAACGTGCTTGCTGTGTGAATATGAGGACTTGGAATCAGATCCCCAGCACCAACAAACAAACAAACAAACAAACAAACAAAAAACCAACTGTGGAGCTGGAGAGATGGCTCAGTGATTAAGAGCACTGACTGCTCTTCCAGAGGACCTGAGTTCAATTCCCAGCAACCACATGGTGGCTCACAACCATCTGTAATGGGATCCGATGCCCTCTTCTGATGTGTTTAAAGATGACAACAGTGTACTCACATACATGAAATAAAAAAATATTTTTTTTTTTTTTTTTGTTTTTTGAGACAGGGTTTCTCTGTATAGCCCTGGCTGTCCTGGAACTCACTCTGTAGACCAGGCTGCCCTCTGCTGCCACATCCGTGTGCTGAGATCATAGGCGTGTCTGCCACACTTCACTTCAGCCTGCTGCTTATGCTGTGTTACATTTGTTGACACATTAAACTCAAACTTCAGTTATACCAAATTTTCATTGTTGATATTGTTTTGTTTTGTGTCGAGATGGTCTCACCATGTAACTCTGGCCGGCCTATAAGTGTTATATAGACTACACTGGTCTTGAACTCACAGAGATTCACCTGCTTCTGCCACACACTTGCTGGGATTAAAGATGTGCCCCTCCATATGCAGCTTCAAAACAAACAAACAAAACCTGTTTACTTGCTGTTAATTAATAATGGTTCTTACCAGGCATGATAGCACATGCCTTTAATCCCAGCATTCAGGAGGCAGAGACAGATGAGTCTCTGTGAGTTCAAAACCAGTGTTGTCTACACAGCAAGCTCCAGGGTAGCTAGCTCCAGGCTTCATAGTAGGACCCTGTCTCAAAAAAAGCAACAACCACAAAGCAAAAGAGGAAAAAAAAATTAAAACTGCTTTTCATTTGTTCTTACCTTTTTCTTTCTTTCTTTCTTTCTTTTTTTTTTTTTTTTTTGAGATACTGTTTCTCTTGTAACAACCAATGCTATCCTGGAACCTACAGAATTCGCCCTGCCTCTGCCTCCCTGGTGCTGGAACTAAATGCACGTCCACCACACCTGGCTAAGATTGTTTTGTTTTTAAAGCAGAGCTGGAATTTAGTAAAAGGAGATTTAAAGTACAGGGTCTCACAAAAAGTAAAGCACATCCAAGAGTGTTTGTATGGGGGCTTCTCAGAGGAGTGCCACTTAGCACTTAGGCTGTCCTTTAACCATGTCACCTTTGTATATAATACATTCTAATTCCTTTAATCCTCTCTTCTCACACCCCCTCCCTTCCAGCCCTGAAGATCTTGCTCCTCTACAAATCCCTTTCTTTCATCTGGTAAGCCTGTTTTTGTTACACTTTATGTTTTGTTTTATTTTTACTTTCTTTTATTGAGACAGGGTCTCTTCCCTAGATAGCCCTATCTGTCCTGAATTCACTAGGTAGACCAGGCTGTACCTGAACTCACAGAGATTAAAGGCAAGTGCCACCATGTCCAGACTCATTACATTTCGTTTTAATTCTTTCTGTTCGAGTATGTACGGGGAGGAGGCAGAGGTCAGAGGACAACTGTCAGGACTCAGTCCTTGCCTGCCACCATGTGGATCCTGAAGATAGAATTTAGCTGGTCAGATGAGGTGACAGACAGACACCTTTACCTGCTGAGCCATCTCGATGGCCCTTGAACTCATATCTCTCTCTTCTGTTCTGTGATAACTGATTTTAACCAAGGCCATTTCTATAACTGTGAGTTCACAACTAGCCTTTGGGCCAGTCTTGGTGGCACAAGATTTTAATGCCAGTTACTCAAGAGGGAGAGAGCTCTGCACAGTGAGACTCCAGATAGCCAAGGCTACATAGTGAGACCCCATATTAAAAAAACAAAAAAACAAAAAAAAAAAACAAGGGCAGGAGAAATGGCTCAGCAGTTAAGAGCACTGCCTGTTCTTCCAGAGATCCTGAGTTCAATTCACAGCAACCACATGGTGGCTCACAACTATCTGTAATAGGATCTGATGCATTCTTCTGATTGATGTGTCTGAAGACAGGTACAGTGTACTCATATACAAAAGGAGAGAGAGAGAGAGAGAGAGAGAGAGAGAGAGAGAGAGAGAGAGAGAGAGAGAGAGAGAGCCGGACAGTGGTGGTGCACACCTTTAATTCCAGCACTTAGGAGGCAGAGGCAGGTGGATTTCTGAGTTCGAGGCCAGTCTGGTCTACAGAGTGAGTTCCAGGGCAGCCAGGGCTATACAGAGAAACCCTGTCTCGAAGAGAGGGGGGGGGGGGAAGCCCAACTATTTACTGGAGCTTCAGGACTCAGCAGTGGATCCACTACAGGGCATTTGAGTAACTACGTTTACCATTTACATCCCCTTAACTGGCAATGTCAAATAAAAAGAGCAGCTGATACAAAAAATATAATTTGTTTCCACTAAGAGCAGAAAGAAATGTAAGACTGTTCCAGACAGAGGGCTCTTCTGCCCAGCTGGACTGGCCTCAGGGCTCGGTTTCTAAAGAAACGCTCAATCTAAAACTACTTCTAATCGGTGTGCCGGCTCAGCAGATGAAGATGTCAGCGACCTGATCCATCCCTGGAGCCACACAGCGGAAGGAGGGAACTCCGCCTTCCACACTGCTGCCCGGACCTGTGCCTCACAGCCCCGAGCACACAAAATGCAGAAAAGTAATTTGTAAACCTAGCTGTTTGGGAGTTGAGCTGATGCTGCTGCCTGCAATATTCCACATTACTTTTCTTCTTTGAGTTTATTGGCCCGTATTACAAAAGGGATATCCTTAGAGAGTTATTCAGATTTAATTAACACATTAGATTGACTACATTCATTAGGCTTTCAACCTGATATTCAGCAAAAGATGGGTTTGGGAAAAAGATTAACTATCTAGGTCAAATGTAGGAGGCACTTGCTTGGAGAACAGGCATCTTTTGGGAAATTTGGACAGCGGAGACAGAAGCATGTGGGATGTGGGACGACACACCTACCAAGGTAGCTGTCCAGGTAGCATGAAAAGCAGCTGACAGAACCCCAGGACACATTTACAAGTCACTATTTTCTCTGTTCGTGGCATACCATCAGCAGTTAACTGAAAGATTCTGACCTTAAACTAGCTACTTTCAACACCTAAAGTTCGAGGATAGCTTGTGCTATCTAGCAGGGTTGCTATCTAGCCCGGCCTGTTAGAAAACAAAACAACCTCCCATTTTAAGTAATTTTAATGATGTGAAATATAAATACTAAAACCAGTATTTTTTTTTTTTTTGCTTTAATCTCTGTGATGGCATTTTCTTTCTAGCTTTGTTTGTTTGTTTGTTTGAGACAAAGTTTCTCTT